AGCTTCAATACATTCCAATGGAGGAAACATTGTATCGTTTAACGATGTTTCCTATGGGTTTTTTCGCTTAAGGACGGCAATCCGTGCCTATTGGAACGGATTAACCGGTTTCCAATGCATTCCTATGGAAAATGGTGTTTCGCATAATGATGTTTCACATAACGGTTTTTTTGGAACCAATTAAAATCGTTATGCGAGGCACCACTGTACTTCATAAATTTAGCTGTGCCATTGTCAGAGAGCAATAAAGCCAAACTAATAAAATCAAATCTATGAACTTACCGGTACTTGAATAATCCTCTTTGTTCTTCACATTCTTTGAATTCCACTCATGTTCCATTTCCAAGATTATTTCATGTATATGTTTACCTAAAAATGCATATTTTTGGATAATCACAAAAACGCAGACAAAACACAAATGTATTCAAATTCAGTTTCAAACATGTCCAAATTCCTATCAAAATGATCTACTAAATGTATCAGTAAGCCACTGTTTCAAATACAGTGGGGTCTTGACTTGAGAACTTAATCTGTATTGGAAGGCGGTTCTCAAGTCAAAAAGTCTATAGGTCAAGTCTCCATTGACCTACAGTGCATTGAAAACCAATTAATCCCGTAACAGGCCGTTTTTGTTCCATTTTGTTTTTTTTCTGGTCTGTAAGTCAATTCTCAGGCTGCAAGTCAAACCTAAATTTTGCGGCCAGAGAAGTCTGTAACTCAAAAAGTCTGTAAGTCAAGCCGTCTGTAAGTCAAGGGTCCACTGGGGTAGCCAACAGCCAAAGTACTGCCATTCCAGTGAAACACCGAAAGACAGTTCTGACTAAGTTATTGAAGTCAAAGCAGAAAAAAGTAAGTATTTTCATACTCCTCCATGAAATGAAAAACATGTTCTTCTAAAAAGGAAAGTAAATTACACTAGTCTGGTATGAATAACACAAATCAGCACTAGCACTATTCAACTAAGTTTTGTCCCATTGTAGCAGACCACCAACCTTTCCGGAAATATGAACACAAGAGAGAAACCACCTCCTTCTCAGCAACAAATGTTTAATACCACAGCAATCTGTCCGCTAATTAGAGAACCAGCAAGACAAAAATCATACGGGTAGTTCGCACTATGGTGTATTTTCTTTATCCTGCCACTATTAAAGATGCATAGCTGTTCTAATCACAGTATCAGATCAGAGAACATGTGTTGTTCTCCTGCATTGAGAGAGCATAACACATGTAGAAGCATTCTATGTGTACCTGCAGAGAAATGGCAGCTAGTAGATCTGTGGTTTTCAACAAAGTTTTGGAGGAACCACTCAGGAATGGAAGAATGCTGCTCTACTTTTTAGAAGTACGGTGGTGCTTCTAAACCTGACCTACGAACAATTTGACTTACGAACAGATCCGACCACAAAATTTTGCTTTGACTTGCAGCTGGAGCTTTGACTTAAGAACGGAAAAAGGCAGGGGAAAAGGGCGGAAAATTCAAACCGTTGGTGACAAAGAGGCTGCTTCTTTGTAGCTCTTTTGCCCCAACAGTTAGAGCAGGGAGTCAGGGAGCATTTTTACTTCTGCCGAGCAGGCGGGGTCAGTTCGGGATCGCCACTGGGCACGGGAAGTCGGTGCACTCCCTGCCCATCACTGGCGCGGGTCTATTGGTTAGTAAGCGCCACGAAAAGTGTAGGTATACTCATGAGTAAATGCCACCAAAGGCCCTGGGCTGGGCTGCCGGTGCTTTGGAAGCCCTGGAAGCCTCTATAGAGGTAGCTGGAGCCCTGGCCCGATAGCGGCAGCGGAGGCCAGGCTGTCAGCTTCTTGCTATTTAATGTGCAGACTTCTCTGAAGAAAAACACACACATGCTCTTCTTCTACAAAAAGACACGTGTATTAACAAAATATATACAAATATACAAAGTAGCAGACCTTCGGCATGGCAGCAAAAATAGCGGCAAAGTACATAGAGGATAGTAGCATAGAGGAAAGGAGATACAATCATGTTCACAATGTTCCCTTATATACAGTTGAACTGATGCTTCTGTCCAATCACTTCAAGGGTTGCATCATCTTCCTTTACATGGGTGTTGCATCATCCCCAGATGTTGCATCATCTTCTTCTTAGTCACTGTGACTCAGCACTTACACAGGTGATCATCATGGCAGTTCATCAATACTACAGTCAGGACCTGTTCAGGCCTATAAAAATTAAAATAAATAATTTTTCCTCTGTCTTACAATATTCCAATTCAATTAATTTCTCTTTTATTGCTTCTCTTACATTGTGATATTTGATATCCACATGCTTACTTCTATTTTTTACTCTTTCTGTTAAAGCCATATGTATGCATGTGGTATTATCTTCCAAAACTTTTACTGCACCACATGTCTCAATTTTCAAATCTTTTACTAATTGTTTATACCAAATCAATTCCAAACATAACTCTGATAAGGCTGCATATTCTGCTTCTGCAGATGAGGTAGCTACAGAATTTTGTTTTCTGGATTTCCAACCAACCAAATTATTTCCAAACATTATCACAAAACCAGGCATTTTGTAACTTTCTTTTAAATACCCATTTGCTACCTATTACTTTATGTTCTAAAAGTAACTTAGTCTCAGTAAACACTTTGTGTTCTTCCATGGACCTCATTTCTTCTTCCATGGCATCTTGCCACTTCTTTATAAATCAGGAAGTGCCATCACTTCCTCATAATTCCTAGGTTCCTGGTACACATAGCAAACTCTAACTTCACCCACTCCAAACCTTTTGGGTGGAACTCCCTTGTTTGCCCTCTCTGATCTCCTGGGACCTTGTGGCACTGGTTCTTTCCCTGATTCACTACCTCGTTCATCTTCTTCTTCTTCTTCTTCCTCAGTTGTGGATTTACTTGTGTCTTCAGTTTCCTCTTTCTGTGTTTCTATCTGCCTATACTGGTTCTTTTTTGTGTCACATATTGGGATAAAAACTTGTAAATTAGCATGAATATTATCCCAGTTTTCGTGCTCATTAAAACTTGCTGATCTGGAAATTACAATGTTCCATCTAATACTCTGACACCCCTCCTAATTTTATACCTGAACAGAACATAATCCCATTATTTTAATTATTTCACTATGCTTTTGAGCATTCAAAGGTTTTGTTAAGATATGGGTGTTGCATCATCCCCAGATGTTGCATCTTCTTCTTCTTAGTCACTGTGACTCAGCACTTACACAGGTGATCATCATGGCAGTTCATCAATACTACAGTCAGGACCTGTTCAGGCCTATAAAATTTACGATACTCTGACACAGGCCCTGCAGGAGCAGTGGAGATAAGGTGCTGCTTTTTCCTTTTAAAAATTTTGTTTTCGGTAGGTTTTGGAGGGTAGGTTTGGGCTGGGGGGGGTTATGCTTCTGTGTTATTTTGTTTTTTGGTGGGATTTTTTTTTGGCAGTCCCAGTGTGGGACTTGCTCCAATGTTTATTTTTGGATTTGTTTTTTTGTTTGTTTTCTGCAGTCCCACTGTGGGACTTGCAGTGTTATATTTTTAATTTTTTTGTATTTTTTTCTTCAGCTGGAACGGATTAATCGGTTTTCAATGAATTCCTGAGAAATGGTGCTTTGACTTATGACCGTTTTGACTTACGGCCACCGTTCCAATACAGATTGTGTTTATAAGTCAAGGCACCATTGTAATCAATTCTCTTTATATTTAACCTAAAATTGTTTCATATGATGCTTAATTGGTATCAGAAGGGAGGGTAGCAAGTTGATGTTTGTCTACCTCTAATCTTGTTCATGAGAAACTGCTTCAAATGTCCCTTCCATATATAGACTATTCACAAGACATTCCCACACTCATATGAAGGGGGAAGCAGGACTAGTCTTGGCATCTCTTTGCCTTTCCAATGTTTCTACATGGAGGATATTTTAATATTTCTGTCATGTCTCCTATATTTTTCTGCTGAGCTGGGCTTGCTGTTGTTGAAGATGCATTTGATGAAGCTCCTGATGATGTCCCTGCCTTTTTTGCACCTTTAACTGTGCTGGTACTCATTTTCTAAAGCTCCTTGCGGTCCTTCCTCCTCAATAGATCTCTTTAATACTACAGTGGTGCCCCTCAGAGCGACGATAATCCATTCCGGAAAAATCATCGCTATCCGGATTCATCGCTATGCAAAATAAAAAAGCCCACAGAAACGTCGCAAAAGCGATCGCATTGCGATGTTCCCTATGGGAAGCCCCGCCGATCAGCTGGGGAAAAATGGGGCCTTTGTTAGGACCGCGGGGGAGCGCTCCCCCGCAGTCCTCCCAAAGCCCCAGCCGGCATTTTCGGAGAGCTGATCGGCGGGGCTTCCCATAGGGAACATCGCAATGCGATCGCTTTTGCGATTGCAAAATCTTCATCGCTATGTGGATTCATCGTTAAACGGGGCACCCGTTAAGTCGATCAGCTGGGGAAAAATGGGGCCTTTGTTAGGACCGCGGGGGAGCGCTCCCCCGCAGTCCTCCCAAAGCCCCAGCCGGCATTTTCGGAGAGCTGATCGGCGGGGCTTCCCATAGGGAACATCGCAATGCGATCGCTTTTGCGATTGCAAAATCTTCATCGCTATGTGGATTCATCGTTAAACGGGGCACCCGTTAAGTGAGGCACCACTGTATAAATCCCACCTATTCTCAAATATTATTGGGGAGGAAAAGTCACAACCTAAATCAGCTTTCCTTTAACAGAGTATTATAAACCCTATTTTCAACTAGAGATAGTTAGAATCTGTAGACCGACACGTTCAGGCCCAGGTTGACCGAAACATTATGAAGATTTTTTTTTAGTATTTATTTAGCAAATAAGCTGAACGGGCATGACAAAAAGCCTTTCCATACAGCTCAATCTATCTGGCACCTTCTTGAATATATCCAGCAAGAGGAACATCAGCAGTTAAAATTTGGGTGTCAGACTGGCTGGAAAAATTACAGAAGGACCTCGTAGATAAAGGCTTCAAGATATTTTGAACAACCAACCCTGGAAGACTCTGCTCTAATACTGTTTTCCATGAATGGTCAACTGTGCACTCTCTCTTGCCCTCATAGCTTCCTGTTCTCTTGCCTGCTCTCCTCATGCACTTGCCTGCCTTCTCATGTGTACAGCTGGTCTATTCCATTTGCCCACTCACTCTCACTTGGATGTGCGTACATGGCCATTCTCTTATGTCAGTCTACATTCTCTTACTCTTGCATGCCTGCTTTTGCTCTTTCCAAATACGCTTGTTCACCCACCCCTTCTCTTGCCTGCCCTCTTGCGCACACACGCCTGCCTTCTCTTGCTCTTACGTTCATCTCCCCTCCCTTCCACTGCTGCTTTTCTTTCTGCTTAGTTGCCATCTTCCTATGCTGTTTTTTCCACAAGTAAAGGCAGTGGGAGTTAACACTACAAGATAAACTATTCATATGAGTCTTCTTCCTTTCTCACTATTCAAGCTGACCTCCCAACCCAGTAACAAGTTGTTCATTTTTATTATTCTTCCCATTCTCACTGGAAAAGTAGTAAATTACAAGAATGAAAATTAACAAAGAAAAAAGTAACTTCCTCTTGACTTGTTACTACAGAATGTAACTAGTCCCAAGAATATCCTACTAGAAAGATAATTACAGTGGTGCCTCGACTTACCAACGTCCCTACTTACGAAAATTTTGACTTATGAAAAACTCCAGCCGCAAAATTTTGCTTCAGCTTGCGGCCAGAGCTTTGACGTATGAATGAAAAAAGGCAGGGGAAAAAGACGGGAAATGCAAACCGTTGGTCATGAAGAGGCTGCTTCTTTGTAGCTCTTTCACCCCAATAGTTAGGAAAAGTGAGGCTCAGCCTCCCCGGCTTCCCTGCCGCTGTGCCTTCTACTGCCAGAGGCCTCCTGCTTTTAAGCAGAGGGAAAACCAGAACCCCACCAACTCTGGAAAGACCAGGAAGAAATCTGCACGATACCACCACCACCTTTGCGCACCCCTAAAAGGTGCCCCTTTTGCTGGCTGGGCGCCCTTGCCCTCTGAGCCCCCTCACTCACCTTCTTTCCAAACTGCCAAGCGGCCAGTACTCTCAGTGCCTCCTACTTGCAATCCCCCGCCTCCACTGCCTGCCTGGTACAGATGCGGCAATGCTTGCACTTTCAACCAAGCTCTACCTCTTCCTCGGCGAGTGGCTGAGGTGGGTACTCTCCGGCCCGGCCAGCCAATAAGGCCGTCGCCTTGCTTGGTGGCCCAAGAAGGTGGAGCTTAAACAGAAGTCAGAGCAGGAGCCACTGAGAGCAAAGCAGAGCACCACAGAGCGAGTGAACATGAAGGGAAGGAGAAGCTGCCCAGCCAGCCGATTTCCTACCAGGCCACCCTCCCTGGGACTGCTTTGCGGACTCCAGCTGCACGTTATTTAACGCTGGCAGAGTCTGGCGGGCGAATGGGTGTCTGTTGTGGCCATAAAGGGGACAGGAAGGTCAGCGTTCCCAGTGAAATCTTTGCGTATTGGGGTGGTGACTGAACAGAGATTGCTGGCACTTTTTATTGCCTTTATGCAGAAGGAAGGGAGGGGAGCTTTATGGGGATGTTTGAGTGCCGCTGCCGAGGTTTCTCACTTGCCCAGCAGCTGCCCAACACTTCAAGCTGCCCTTTGGCTTGAGAGCATGCTCCGGAGTCGGAAAGCGGGAGGAAGGGCCGAGCGATCCGGGTGTGCTGGCCATATGTAGTACCAGCCGCGCGTGTTCAAGCTGTCTGAGCGAAGTTTGAAGGAGATGTGCGGGACAGCACGGGGGTTCACCACAGTTGCCAACAGGCATGGCAGCCGCTCTCCGTCTGGCACCATGGTGAAAGAGTGCAAAGCACTGCTGGACACGCTGAGCAAAGTGACCGCTTGCTAGTGGCACATAGTGCTCACTATCGGGGGCACCTCGGATTCACAGAACCTGTGCGAGGAGCTGAAGAAGACCCGGAAGACAGCCCAGGAGCTGGCTGTGGCAAGTTGCAACAAGCTCTGCGGGGCTCTGAGACAAGACGGCTAGCAAAGAGGACAAGGCAGAGTTTGAGGGGCTCTGTGTGATCTTCTCCACCTGCCTGGAGATTGATATGAGGCCTCCGGCAGCAGCAGTCGCAGCAGCAGTGAAGCTGGGGAGGCTTGCGGCGGTCGCAACAGCGGGGAAGCTGAGGAGGCAAAGGAGGCTTTGGAGGGGTAATGTGCTCCTTTTTCCTTTTAAAAAAGCTGTTCTGGTTGGGTTTTGGAGGGTAGGTTTGGGCTGGGGGGGTTATGTTTCTGTGTTGTCTTGTTTTTTGGTGATTTTTTTTCAGTCTCAGCGTGGGAATTTTTGGATTTGTTTTTTGTTTTTGTTTTTTTGCAGTCCCAGCGTGGGACTTGCTCTGTTTATTTTATTTCTTTCTGGTATTTTTCTTTGGCCGGAACGGATTAATCGGTTTTCAATGCATTCCTATGGGAAATGATGCTTTTACTTACGGCCACCATTCCAATACAGATTAATTTCATAAATTGAGGCAGCACTGTATTGTCCATCTCTGGTCCCATTGTCGTTTTAAAATGGGATCTACACTCTAGCAAGTGAGATTAGGATTCCAGTCTAAAACAGACATCAGAGCTCACAAAGAAAGCAAAAGCAAAGCATGCTGCTTACATACAGTCCCATAGCACTTAAAGCAGGAGTCATCAACCCCCAGTCCGTGGCCTGGTCTGTGGGCTTGCCGGAACTGGGCCATGGATACGGATCTCTGCCCCTACCCCCCAGTATGTCCGTGGGGGGCATGTCACACTCGCACGGTGGGTGTGTTGCACCCGCAGGGGGTGTTTCGCTCGCACGCAAGTGTGGAGGGCGTGGAGCAGATGGATATTGAGTCAACCTACAAGTCTTCTACATCTGCAAAACCTCCTGGATCAACTCCTCTGCACTGCTTTATCTCAACAGCTTGGCCTTATATGGCAATAATATGAAGGCAAGCTTGTTGGTCTCTCTCATGGAAACGTATCTCCAACTGTTCGGAGGAGGATGCAGAGTAAGGAAATCTAAGTGGCACCATTTTAGAAAGTTTAACCCTCTCTCTCTCTCTGTGAGTGTGTGTTTTAATATTGCTTTAGGGTAACAGTGAAAGGAATATTGGAACTGGTAGGCCTGGATGAGAAGTGGTAGCCCTGCAGAACTCAGTGAAGAGGAAGAGGGAGAAAATTGGGCTGGTGTATCAGAGTGGACCCAGGAAGATTTGCCCAAGGAAGCCATAGCTACTTCCAGTGTCCCCTGGCCTTCAGACATTCTAGCCCCACATCACCACAATAACCTGGCTGACCCTATATCTGACTTCCACCCACAAGAGGAAGTGGAGTGACAGAGACAACTACAATGCCTGTTGTAGGTTCATTAGCCTATTTACCACAAGTTAACTTAACAGAACCACTGCTAATATATATTAAACTAGAAATAACTCATAAATATGGTCTTTACTTATCTGCTGCCCAGAAAGTATTTACATTAACTGACTGCATTATCAATATCAGATGTGGCTTCTATTTACACATCTGCTAACAAGCATCCTTCAATGCACCAGGAGTTGAACACGGTATTATTATGGATGACTGCAAACCAGAGAAGCAGGAAATTTATTTTACAGGATTTTGATCAAATAGAACAAGATCCTCATTTCTACTCATATATGAAGATGCCTCTCTGCCAGATAGCTCATTAGCTCTAATAGCCAAATACTGTTTCCTCTAACTGGTTGGATCTCTCTCAGGTCCAACACTGAGGTCTTTCCAGCTTAGCTCAATACTCCAACTTAAAGGTAAATTTTGTTTCCAGATGGTACTGTATTAGAGATGGGCATGAACCTTGGTTTGGAGGTTTGTGCCAGACCTCCCCTGCCTCCCCAGCCAATGCCCCACTCACCACATGGAGCACACTCCTTTCCTCCTCCTCTTCAGTTGCTCAGCCAGTCTCCAGCAGGAATATAGGAAGCCTGTGCTCCTGCTGGGGACTGGCTGAACAGCCAAAGAGGAGGAGGAGAGAAGCATGCACCGGCTGGTCAATAGGCAAATCCAGCCAGGGAGGTGGGGGAAGAGGGCAGGGCACCTTGAACAGCCATGACTTTCCAAATCAAGGTTCATATGCCCATCTTTACATTATTGCTGACTGCTTGTTTCCATAAAAATAATGCATAGCAGCCATTATGCCTTGTCCAGATCTTTTTTAAACTCACCGTATACTAATGTTTTTTTTTTCCAAAAACGAAGCTATTACTATTAACAAAACTTACCAGAATTTAGCAAGGTAACATCTACAGCAAAATACGGCATTTCAGCCATCAAAATATTGATAATAGTCAATGAACAAGTCTTCCCTATAAGACTTGGACCAACAATACTTCGGATGTTTGCATTCCATTCTTTTTTGGTTATAAGGGTATTAGCAACACAGCATTTAATAGCCTGAAAACAAAATACAGTTTTCGAACGTCAGTATTACTTGTGACTTAACAAATATTATAATATAAACTAGAACACAAAATATTCTTAAATAGTCAATATGAAATAACTCAATGATGTGCCAATCCACTGTTATTCTTTTGTATAACAATTAATAAGCAGTTATTTACAGTAGTTAGGTAAAATATGCTATTTTGAAAGCACAGATTATGGAGAGCTTAGCATTTTCATGAAGTCACCATAGGTTGCTGTTATGTTAAGACAGCCTTACTCCTCATTCCAGGAATGATACTACTTCTTGATATGCTAGAGTCTTTAGAGGATGAGAAAGCATTATAGAACATTGACTTAAAGAGGCCTCAAGAAGATAAAAACATGTTTAAAATTATGCTTCCATCTCAAGCATCAGGTAACAAAAGCAGATGGGTTAGGAACTGACATTTTTGAATAGAAACAATACACTGAAATAGTCTACTAGCTGCTCACTCTTTATTCTAAGTAGAATTTACTTGGCACATTAGGAATTTCTCACCCTCCCATAAAGACCGTATCTTTCTCTCAGTGTTCTTTAAGCATCAAAACACATACTTACACAGGGTGGAAAGTGAGCAATATCTTTGTCCAGTCGTTTAATTTTGCTGAATGACACAATTTCTCCATTTCCGTAGTCTATATACAACACTTCAGCACTCTTTTTATGGATATCTACCTCTTTTATGAGCACCCTGTACCACTTCTACATTAAATAATTTTAGAATAAAAAACACATAATTGTGATGTTGTGCCTTACCAGGTATAGAAAAAATTCTTTTAGCTTTAAGACAAGTTCAAGAAATAATCAGAAGTTTCCCTTTTGATCCTTAACTAACATATCTGAAAATTTCAGATCAAACATTTCATCTCAACTGAGCCTGATACTCAAACATTTCTACTTGTAATTTATCCAAGTGCCCCAACACTTTTCATCGACTTTATTGGGTGTGTGTGCTTGAAGCAAATAATGTAGCATAGAAAGTTAACCTGTGAAGCACTTTCTTTTGGCTATTACATTCTATAGTAACTCTTTGCTAGACCACACTATTTCCTTTAATTCTACAAATTCTGTTTTGATTAAATTTATTTTTTTATTTCTTTATATTATTTTCCACACATTTCTGTAACTTCTTTAAATTCTATAACATGGCTATTCTTGAAATATTGTTGGGTTGTCAGCAACCTTAAATAATAATATTGCTTATGTTGGTTAAGGCTGCTGGGCAACATAGTCCAAACATATTTGGAGGGACAGATGTTACAAACTTGACATAAATTTAAAAAATATCTTAAACCATTAGTAGTTTTTTTTTCCTGACAACTGAGATTTGGTCACTGTATCAAAGATTAAGTTACCTTATCCATGGAATATTCTGCAACACCAACTTCCCCTCTAGCAGGGATGTATTCATTATGATTAATATCACCGTGATCTTTCAAAATTTCAGTAAGTTTGCTAATGTTGCTTAGAACTTCTGGAGAGCTGACTTGTATGTAGAATTCACTAGGATTAAAGAACTCTGTCACAGTGCCCTAGGAAGAAAGCCATGCTATATGATTATCCATAAGAACAGATGAGCTCAGTATTCTTAGTATTTGTAAGTAATTTAGTACTATTATAATCAAAGCATTAGATGAAAATGATTCATATCAAAAATGAACACCACTTTACATAATTACAAAGGAAAAGAAACAAACATTAAAGTCTTTAGCAAAAAAAAGCTGTAATCAAAAAATAAACAATTATAAAATGCATTGAAATGAAAAATCAAAACCTAAATGAGTTGAAAGCAAAACTCACCTGTATTTTCATATTTTTTTTGAGCCCCAAAGTGGTTAGATCAGAAAACTTTTTTGCCATGTTCTGTTCTTCTGTTCTGTTAGTATTCACAAACAGTATACCTTCCTATTACAAGCAGATGATTCTATTGTTATCAAAATATAAAGATATCTTATTTCAGTAACCTATCTAAATCTACTAAAATTATGTAAAATCACAAAATTAAAACCATGCATTTGTCATTTCCTCTTCATATCAAAAGCCTTTCAAGATAAAAAAGAAAGCCTGCTTATTAACATGAGCTAGGTCATGAGGACTACTGGGGAGGATGGCATTACTACAGCCTTTTCAGGACTACTAGGAATTGCCAGGGGGAGGAAAGGACAGGCAACACAACTTTGGGAAAATGTCCAGTTACTAACCTTAACATCCAAACCACTGTGATGGAGAAATCTACTTCAACTTTTCTACATGTGAGAAATACATTGATCTTTTTCACACAAACTTCAAAGCAAACACAGAGCACCTAGATGCTATATTAATTTACTTTCCTGGCAGCTCACAGCAAGCTGCACAATACTAGGCTGATTGGCCCAGAACTGGCTACTTTTCCATACCAAAAGTAGTCTGTTTGTATCCTAGTGAATGATGGTAGAAGGTCCCTTAGGAACTGTCTACTTCCCTATTGGTACTGTAACATTTGTATCTGATTATGCCTTTCCTTCCCTGCTCAATACCATCAAACAAAATATATTTAGTCATACCTTTTTCTTAACTTCATCTGGTGATTTTGCATTATCTTCAACTTTATCTGAACTAAAAAAACACTTTATTCATTAGCATAATTATTCTATAAAGTCTTGACCACACATTACAGCAACTAGCATTTGTAAGTTATAAAAGAAACCTAAATTAGTGCTGATAAACCCCTACTACAGGGATGTGAATCTTCAGAAGCTCAGCATATATGCCCATTCTTGGGCCCTGAAAGGCAGTACAGTGGTACCTCAACTTGAGAACGTCCCTACATACGAACGATTCGAGTTAAGAACGGCTCTGTTCGCAAAAAGTTGCTTCAACCTGAGAACGGAGCCTCAACAAGAACTAAAAAAGGGGGGAAAATAAAAATATGAAAATAAAAAGAAAAAGAAAAAGAAAAGGAAAACCCTCTTTCCTGCCCTTATTTTGACCTAAGTTCACCTTAGGTCAAAAGAAGAAAAAAAATTTTTTTTTAAATTTTAAAAAATCCACCTCCTAGTGGTAGATACAGATTAACCAGCTTTGCATTAGTTCCTATGGGACCTAATGCTTCGACTTAAGAACAGTGCCTCTACTTAAGAATGAAAAACAGTAGATGGTTTAAATGGTTTTCAATGCATTCCTATGGGAAATGGTGCTTCGACTTAATAACGTTTCGACTTAAGAATGCAGTCCCAATACGGATTAAGTTCTTAAGTCGAGGTACCACTGTACTCACTCCCATGATTAGACATGCACTCAACACATGTCAATTTACAGCACCAGGTACTGTGATTGTTTTTCACCTAACAATGGTGAAAAAGGATTCTGCACTTAGACCCCTCAAGTATCAGTTTAGCCTTGGTTTAAGATCTATAAAGCAATATTAAAAGCAACATAATATGCAAATCAAATATGTAAGAGGCCAGAATAGGCATACTTAATTTAGTATGTGAAAGAGCAGATGATAATGTGAGGTGTAACGAATTTTCAAAAGTCGGTGAATTTTAGTTAACTATAGAAGTGGAACCATCCTGTATTCCAGTCCTCTTCCAGTTATTTCAGTACTGCCATGTATGCAGCCAAAATGGCAATAACCATACACAAGAGGCATTAGAAAATTAAGGTCAAGCCTTATCTTTTAGACATGCATCTGAGCTTATAAATCAGTTATCACATTTGGATCTGGCCATTTCTCTAAAGACCTGATTTATTTATTTATTTATTTATTCATTCATTCTATTTATATCCCGCCTATCTAGTCGATTAAGACCACTCTAGGCGGCTAGATAATATCATCAGGATTTTCAATATTTTATCATGACAACAAACCCAAAGTAGCCGAGTGTGGGACTGTGTTGCAACTGACAACTAATCACATGTAAGAGCCAGTGCTTGTAAGTGTACATGCTGAGTCACATAATGACCATGGCTAACTGCGATGATGCAAACAATAAACTACACATTCTTCCACAGCATAAGCAAGAAGCTACAAATAGAGATTCTTCTTTCTGAATCAACTACAATCACAGGGCCTTCATTTGAACGCGTAACTGCAGTATATTTCAAAACATGCATGAACAGTCACCTAAGGTAAAGCATTCACTTAAGTGACAGATTCTACCCAATCTAACAGTACTTTAATCTTTAAACTTACTTCAGTTCAACAGGCCTACAGACCATGCTATGCATTTGCCAATCTTTCCTCTGGCAATCCACAGAACAATAATGTATCTGTTTACACTTTGTGCATCTCAAGGACCCTGAAAAGATTTTTAAAAATCCCCAAAGAGGTGTTAATCTATAGCATGCTAAGAAAATTCTGAGTTTGCATTATAAAAACTTTTTTTCTATTCTGTTTACAATAGACAAATAATGCCATCCAATTTCTTTTAATATAAAACAATCTGTTTACATATGAAACATTTTCCCTGTAACCAATTTAACAGATAGCTTCCACATGGCTCATTTCAAGTGGTCAAAGCACCCTGTACATATTTGCTTAGCAATCTGTCCTCTAGTAGTTTGTTCAGTAAAACTTAGAAAATTCATGGAGAATGGGAAGCGTGAAGAAGGGCTTCCATCTACAGTGGGGTCTTGACTTGAGAACTTAATCCGTATTGGAAGGCGGTTCTCAAGTCAAAAAGTTCTCAGGTCAAATCTGCATTTCCCATAGGAATGCACTGAAAACCATTTGATCCGTATCTGCTCTTTTCCGTCCATAGAAACTAATGGGAAGCTGCTATTCTGCCTTCGACCACTAGAGGGGGATATTTTGTTTCTTTTTTTCTTAGGTCAAGAAAGGTTCAGGGAAGGCAGGGAAAATACAGTCTAGGCAGTACAGTACCAGGCAGTCTGAAGACTGTCTCCCAATCCACGCTGGGAGGAGTGAGGAAGCAGACAGGCACCCTTTTCACTGGCCAACAGTTAACTGAAAGTTCAAATTTTGCACTTTCCCTGCCTCCCACGTGGCTTTTTTCAGTTCTTATCTCAAATCTAAGTATGTAAGTCAAGTCAATATTTTCCTATGAGAGTGGTTCTCAAGTCAAAATGTTCTTAACTCAAGCCGTTCTTAAGTCAAGACCCCACTGTAATGTTTATGTGTACTCTACATTCCCTCCACATTAAAAGTTACAAGAAACATTATTTGGATTTACAATGTCAAGTATTGACAAATTTATCACAGATCAGGTAAAAGAAACTTACCAAACAGTCCACAAAAATGGCAAGTGGGCCTATAAAATGAATTAAGATGTGGATCACAAACCACAGATAAAGCAGTCTCGGGAGAACTCTGCAACTTTTTCTGCTTTGTATGTACTAAAGCTGAACCAGGAGCCTGCAACGTATATTCAAATTAATAACATACATACATATATATATATATATAAATATATATACACACATGCACACATACCTAACAAATATGCATTAGTTGCTCTGCTATTATATTAACAGTAGGTATGGAATGATCCATTTTCTTTCTCTAAATAAAATCAATTGTCTGCTAAATAAGCACCACAACCCACAAAAGAAGTGCACATTCATGGACAAGGGAATATTGCATTTTGTCAACATTTAAAAGGAATGATATAATTTTAATATTACACTAGATGGAGGAGAAAAGAGCGAATACTTGTGGCTCAGTAACTCACAGTATTTGTTGCCTTTGCAGCAGATGAGAGCAAGTTAATGGAACTATTCATGGCTTCCAAATTAACTAAAACATAGAAGAAAAGGATTAGGCATGATCTAACTCAAGCCGTTTTTCTAATAATTCTGTTAGTACAGTATCTCTGGTTCTAGACAATAAAAAATAGGGTTTCAAATACGCACACTTACTGAGGAATTCAAAGGACAAAATTTTATTGCTTAGTGTAGTGAATCTCACTAGAATAGGACCACTAAATCAGTAAAGATTTGGCAAGTCAAGCCCTCCCTTTGTTCCATTGATTCAGATGGGACTTCTCTAACTGTAACTTACTTTGCAACATTCCTAGTTAGAGCAGGTCCATTTGAATCAATGAAACTTACAGAAGAGTTGATTCACTGTATATCCATTGATTCAATGGCCCTACTCTAGTGCAATTTAGACAGTAATTTCTATTACTATTAAGGATTTCAATTCATCTAGTGAACTCTTAGCTTTACTTTGCTGTGAACAGAAACGTGAACACCTTTGTGTCCAAGAAACTCAGAGGAACTGATCAATGTTCGCCAAAAGTTCCTGGAGTGCGTCTAGTTGCTGAAAGACCCCGCAACCAATATGGAAGTGCCATTTTTGTAAGACCAAGTATTTAAGTGAATTCAACAGACCTTACTGAATATCACATGTAAGTCTTGAGTGTTGAACTAGCTGCGTGTATAGTAACACTGATTTATAAACTACTTAATATACCATTCAAAGGAACGTGGTGGCACTGCAGGTTAAACCACAGAAGCCTCTGTGCTGCAAGGTTGGAAGACCAGCAGTCGTAAGATCAAATCCATGCAACAGAGTGAGCTCCTGTCACTTGTCCCAGTTCCTGCCAACCTAGCAGTTCAAAAGCATGCAAATGTGAGTGAATAAATAGGTACCATGGTGGGAAGGTAAGGGCATTCCATGTCTAGTCATGCTGGCCATGTGAGCACGGCAACTGTCTTCAGACAAAAGTTGGCTCTATGGCTTGGAAATGGGGATGAGGACCACTCCCTAGAGTCTGACATGACTGGACAAATTGTCAAGGGGAACCTTTAACTTTAATATACCATTCTACTTTAAGAATCCATCTAATAAGAAAAACCAAAATTCTAGTTAGAGATTGCAACAGCCATGGCAACATTTGGGGCTATGAAAATGGTGACAAAAATAGTGAAGCCATTATAAAATGGGCAGAACCCTGTTCAATGTGCCTTATACATAATCCTAAATTGCTCAGTTCATTTAACAGTGGCAATTCAGGCACCAGAGACACATAATTTTAGATCCCAATTTAATTTTTGTAAGTGAGCCTATAGCTCAAAAGTGTATTAACACTATAGGTCAGCAATGGGGAACCTATGGTATGCGTGCCACAGCTGGCACACAGAGGCCTCTACATGGGCATGCGAGCCACAAGTAGCCAGATCACTACCCCACCCCGAGCCGAACCTCAGGACTATAAGCCACCTTTCCCTGCTACCTTCCTTGGTTGTGGCACTTGTAAATCAGACACTAGTGAATGAGTTCTTTTGAAGATTGGAGATAAAGTTGCTTTATTGTCTACTTATCACCCCATTTCCCCTCCGCCCCGGTCCTCCCCACCCCATTTCCCCTCCGCCCCATCAAGGGTCCTCCCCACCCCATTTCCCTTCTGCCCCATCAATACACCTCCACACCCATTTCCCTTCTGCCCCATCAAGGCTCCTCTTCACCCCATTTTCCCTTCACCCCATCAAGGCTCCTCTCCACCCCATTTCCCCTCTGTCCCATCAAGGCTCCAACCCACCCCAATTCCCCTCTGCCTCATCAAGGCTCCTCTCCACCCCATTCCCCTCTGCCCCATCAAGTCTCCTCCCCACCCCATTTCCCTTTTGCCCCATCAAGGGTCCTCCTCACCCCATTTCCATTTCGCCCCATCAAGGTTCCTCTCCACCCTTTTCCCCCGATGCCCCATCAAGGCTCCTCCACCAATTTCCTCTTCTCCCCATCAAGGCTCCTCCCCACCCCATTTCCCCTCTGCCCCATCCAGGCTCCTCTTCACCCCATTTCCCTTTTGTCCCATCAATGTTCCTCTTCACACCATTTCCCCTCTGCCCCATCAAGGATCCTCCCCACCCCATTTTCCTTTTGCCCCATCAAAGCTCCTCCCCA